CAAACAAAAGATAAGACAAAATATCCTCAACAAATAAATGTCATGCTGATATTGAATACGTTGGTAATCGATGTTTAAATCAGTTGTGCAGTGCAGCGTTTCTTAGATTATTTTCTTGATCCTATGCAATACCCTAAAAACAACCAAATAACAACCAAACAAAATTAGGAATGGTAATCCCACATTATTCATTGTGCATCAAAATTAATTGTTATTGCTTATTCTCAGACAGATAGCGGTGTTTGTTGTGTGTGTGTAGCGGGTGCCAGTGTAGAAGTGTCACTGTCCTGGGTACTGAAATAATTGGAGGTAATAAATCTTTACCAAGCGTTTGTTTTTTCAGTGGATTTGGACAAATGAGTTTATAAATGCGGGCATGGTGTGTATTTGAATACACGATACAAATGTCTTTTTTCATTTATTTATATCCTCACTCGCCTAGTAACCGATGCAAAATCCAAATCCATCTTTCTCTGTGCATTCATGTTGATGCTCAGAACCTTCCAACATTTCCTGAGGTAATGCTTTCCCTTTGTTTATTTCTTGTAGACCTTTGATTGTAATTGCCACAGTTGTTTCAGATCCTTGAGATGTGACTTGCTGAGTATTTAACAATCACCTCACCCCATCATCTCAATTCACCTTCATGTAATCCTTTTGCCATTTGCGTTGCTGCACATACATAAACCAAAATAGTGTGCATAGAGACGCCCACACACAGTCTTTCAGCCTAGGATCAAAAACCTTGTGCTTGACATTACTAATCACATTTCAACTGAGGCTGCAACATATTTAACTGAGGGCGCAATGCATGCATTTTGCAAATATGACAGCGACAATAGCTCGGAACAGGGGTCTGAATTAGAGTCGCTACACAGCCAACGAGGACGAGATCTGTCGACGAAAACCTTTCCAAGCATGGATATCTCCTACTTATTAGATGAACCATGGCCAACAGTGAACAATGCATGCAAAGTAAAAACATGTTCACCTTGCCTCTTAGAGTTTCTGTTGTTTTGTAACATAAAAGTCAAACAAGTAAAAATTGTCTAAATCAATCTCGTTCTTTGAAAACTTCCAGATATTTTTTTAAGTTTGATTCCGTAAAACCCCAACCAGTCTTAGACATACACACAAGTGAACTGACCAAGCCTTAGTGAAAGAGCTTTCCAAATAGATCAGAGACGTTGGATCAGCTATCTGAGGACTTGGGTTTCATTAATTAGTAATAAGCGAAGAGTGTGTATATTAATAACCTTGTAATCCCTGATGATGCAGACATCCTTTTTTTCCAAAGCACATCTGATCGACTTTTAAAAAGTATCCTCTGTAAAGAAGGTTTATTGCTGTTAACAGACATACAGCTGTAAATCAAAGGATTCATTCTCGACAATCATTGTCCCCCACAGTCTCTTTCTACAGTCTCGTCTTTTTTTCTGTCTCGCCTTTGTTTATATAACCATGCTGATAAAAAGTTAACCTTGTACAACACAAGGGAGACAAAAAGGACCAATACAACTACACTAAATTGCACTGAACCAAACTTGTTACAAATGTCAAATGAAAAGCTCCACCTCTTATCTATAATGCGCTTCTGAGCCTGACAGTCTGTTGTTCCTTTATCCCCTCTTTGGACTTTCAAATCTCCATTTCTCTAAGAGCTTTGAGCGTGTGTGCTCTGACAGAATGTCAGGCAATTAAACAGTCGTGGCTCATTGAGCTGGAGGTAGGCTCGCTCCTCCAGGTTTCTCCATAGGCAACAAAATAAATGAATGCAGGCTCTCCCTGCCTTCCCTTGCACATTGTTTGACTCTGAAACGTTGGGTCAATCCAGACAAGAAGTTATAATGAAATGACACTTTAAAAATTGCCTTCTTTCACAAGGCTGTCGCTGTCACGGTTAATTATGTTGTGCCCGATTGTAAATGTGGACGGCACAACACAGATGTACCCAGTCATGTCTGCTACAAGACAAACTATAAAACATAAATGCTGTCATATTAGTGATGGCATGGGTAAGCAGACTAACACCTTCACAGCTACTCCGAGCGTACAGCATACAGTAGAGGCATGAGAAAATAACAGGCAGCAGCTGCTTCGTCACTGACAAAAAGTCCCTATAAATGATGGTATGTTTGTGATATTTCTGTAACAAGCCCCAACACCTGCTCAAAACCTGCATCTGAACTTCAGGATTTAGTCCACACTGGATATATACAAGCCACCCAACCACCTGCTAAGGGAAATGCATGTGATGCCTGCCACTACTCACCTCTTTGGGTATCCGCCAAACAATAAATAGCATGTATCCGGATGCAACTTGAGTCAAATCAGCAGAAAATGCTTGCCTCCAGGTACCTGATGGCACCTTTAAATCATGAATATGATGAGTGTCTACTGATTAGTCCACAACACCTCAGTCTCTTAATTAGCTAATGTGACCTCAGACCACTCAGTGCAGGCTTCAAGTGATCAAGAGTTAAAACATAATCATGTGGAAAGACATGATTTTGGTATTGTCACACACTCAATTACCAGTTATTAGGAAGACCATGCTGTGTTTATTAAACTGATATATTTAGCATGTTGCCTGACTCATTGTACTACATCTTTTGTAAAAAGTCCATTAGTGCGCTTTTTCTCAAGTTTTCAAGGTGTAGTGGAAACTTCCTTAAGACTTCCTCATGTGAACTAGCCATTTGAGCATTAGGACATGTTTCTGTGTGTTCCTGCCACGCCTTTGCTTGTCTGCAATATGTTCAATGTTATTGTGTGACATATTTCACAGCTTGAGGTAAGCTGCAAGAGTGACTTCACAGCAGATGTGTGTCATTTCATTTCAAACCTTTATTTAATCAGATTGGTCCCTTGAGATCATAGATCTCTTTTTCAAGGGAGACCTGCAGCATATAGGTTCCACATGAAACATAAAACAATAAAGGACATCATACATTATATTTACAGGATACATTTACATAGTTATAGACATTTACAAGTGCCCATAGTATCAACAAGCATTTCATTTAGCCTAGCTTTAAAAACATGCAGAGGAATGAGATTGCTCAGTTTCATTTCTTGCTGAAGATTGTTCCAAGCAAGTGGAGCTGCGCACATAAAAGCTGTCTTACCTAAGACAGTCCTTGCTCTTGGCACACCTAACAAGACTACATCATGAGATCTCAGACAATAGCTGCTTGCAACTCTCTGTGTTATCAGAGAGCAGATATAATACGGGAGTTTACCCAACATAGCTTTATAAATAAACGCGTACCAATGACTGAGCCTCTTTACAGTAAGTGATGGCAAACCTGCCTTGGCATACAGGGTACAGTGATGAGTAAGTGCTTTACAATTTGTGACAAATCTGGTATCTATACACATCATACTGTATGATTTCAACTCTCGTAATTCAGTGCTATCAAAAAGAAAATGTCAAACAGTTTAAAAGGTTCAAACAAGAGTAAAGAAGCACCCTGGAATGGGCTGTCGACATATTGCCAGAAGAGGGCCTTAGATCTTTTTTTGTAATTCAATGTCAGCTCAGCAAACCACAGCTGCCATTTAAGTTGTTTATTATTACCACAACGTGATTCATTAAAAAGATAAAGGTTATATTTCACTATCGTATAATATGTTTTATCATCTTTAGTTTAGAAAACTAAATGCTGACTAGTACTGTTCATTTACTGAAACCACAAAATATAACCACACAAGCACTCAGCATACCAGTTTTCATTAATGCTACAGAGTAACACTCTCATATAACACACTAACTTAATTGTATGAATTAACCCTATTGTGCACCAGGCAATGGTTTACAATGAACAAAGGCTTTAATTATCCACAGTTCTCTACAAGGTTGCTCCAGCAAAAGAGCATACTTTGAGATACTTTGTGAACATTGCGGGGCATTTAACAGCTAAAGAGTCAGATATGCTGTCAGTAATTAGCAGACAAAGAAAAACAGAGCTTAAACCAAAGTGAATATACGTCAATGGGATCAAGCCTGCAAACCAATGCTAACGATGCTCTGCTTTGATGTTTAGCTGACACCTGACTGCAGCGGTAATGATGGACTGGAGCCGGACTGAGAAAACAAAGGAACCAACTATTTACTTTTTCCTACCATGAACCATACTTCCCCCCCATTACAGCATATTACAAAGAGTCACGAATTGCAGCTTGCTGTGTCTACCACGATCAGCATTCTGCGAGCACAGGGATGTTGATGATATCATTTGCTGCTCAGGTATACTGTTCTAGTTATGGCATGTAAAAACAAGCTCCTGTCGCTGAGCTTCATCTTGTGTGAATCTCCAGGCTAATTGCCCAGTTATTCATGAGCAGTCTGAAGCTCCCACTTCACTGTACCATTACAGCAGATGCTGGTTTCAACACTCCCCCACCAACTCTTCACAGCTCTCTCCTCTGCCATTTCTGACGGAGCCGGTCATCTGCTGATTGGTTGGCTTCCTCGAGGCTCTATTAGCTAAGAGAATAAAGGTCTTCGTCGGGGATGTGTCTAGAATAGATGTGGTTTTTGACAAAGGTTTTGTGTTAGACATGCAGAGTGGAATCGTAGAACCCCATGGCTTGTGTTCAACAATTCCTGTGGTGTAAGCGGCTCGACTGTAAACTACCGTGTTTAACAGCTGATACTCTGATGATATATTACACCGCAGCCGCTATAATCGAGGTCTGGCTTGTTCCTGAAGTAGATCCCCTAATAAATTACAAAGAAAATGCTCCTAAGTAGGAAACTTTATGAGACTAGGTGACACTGACCTTTTGTGGAATGGAAATGAGACTACGAGTGACATTTACAGGTCACAGTGTTTGTTTGCTGTAATCTCTAACAGCGAGAACACATTTCTACGTATCCCCAACCACACAATATTAAAACATCATTTGTGTTTTGACACATTGCATAAAACAGTTGTAGACAATAATCCCAGCAAAGAAAACAACAACTGTAATGATTATAAAACATTGAACCTTACGCTGTGTTGCATCGCTTTCCAAACAATCCTCTGGTTTGCAGCATAAAGGCAGGGAAACAGAAAGTCTTAATTAATTCAGTGTAGGTGGAAGAAATCATTGACGGACATACAACACTAAAAAGGCAACTGCTGTATATGAGACGTAACAAATGTGTGGGAAATAAATTAGATGTGTTTAATTAGCATTGAATAAAACACATAATTAGTCAATTGTTATGGGATTCCAAAAACCAGATGGCAAAAAATGCTGCTGTTCAAATGATGTATTCATTAACTAAAGAACACATTATTAACCTGACACAATGCTAGGATTAGCATGTTTGAAACTATGTGGGCGAGACAGCTTCCCGCTAAACTGAATTAGTCATATTTGCTACTTTTCAAAGGTCATTAAAGGAAAAAACATATTTTGTTGGTTTCTGATATAAGCAGCTCTAAACACGGAAAGGAAGGGCAGAGTGGCTGCAAAGGTAATCCATGATGAGAACTGTCTCTCAGCTGAATTGGTCTGTCAGCTCCGTGTTAACCTTTACCCTGATGCAGCATTTTAGGTTTCAAGGTTGTTTGAGATGGAAATCCATGTATCAAGATCAAATCCAACAAACATAGAGCTAATCTGATAGAAAATAAAGGTGTGCTTCGCAGCAAACAATTGCTATGGTGAGCCTCACAAAATCTATCCATCTATTCTTTCATCCCTTTCTTTTCTGTTTGCCAAGTACACAGAGATGAGAAGGGCACTGAACGCAGCACACCTTCCACTGCCCTCTTGGGGTAAAGCTGTTGATTCGTTAACAAACACAAATCGATAGAGGCGCCTGAATGGAGGACAAGTACAAAGAATTAATTTCCGGCTCCAGGGGCTTACAACGGCAAATCTACAGCTTTAATCAACGGTGTCAAGTCAGAGAGACAAATGATGTTTACACTGAAGCAGCGTCTGCCTGAAAACAGCAGCACTGACTCAGTGTCCTTACCAGTCTGTCTAAGCTTGTGCCAGCTGCAGTGGTGGGGCGCTCCTCTGGGCTGTAGGGCCTGAAGCGAGCGCTGAACACATCCGAAACACCGCGGGTAGACCTAGTCATTCCTGCGGGTTTGGGCTGGCCACAGCCTTGAAAAACCTGCAATTACAAAAACATGGGCACCCAATTGTCAAGGGTTTAAATGACTTGGGAAGCGGAAAATAGAAGAAAAAAAACCATCCTGTTTTGTTAAGGTCTTATGAAGCATTTTTAACAGTGCTTTTCATCAAGTTGAGGTAACCATGTTGATAGAAAATTAAACTAGGAGTTTTAACCAATGCTATTTAAGATGATAGAGTTACATTTTTATGGCCTTTTGGGAAAATACCACATATACTTAAAACCATAACAAAACTGCATCTGTTGCATCGGAAAAGCCAACGGAGCATTTAGCTTCGAATAAGAACAGGCATCCAAAACTGCGTAGGCAGAAACAAAAAATTCACAACCACCTACATTTTTATTTCTTTCTGACTACAATTTTGTGGGCAAAGAAAAATGCAGTAAAACACAGGAATCACATTAACTACTGTTAGTTGAACTAAGGTTATCTGACCAAAATTAAAACATATAATTCAACCTCAAGACCTAAAGTTGGAAATAATTAGCATGTGTTGTACTACACACCTTGGACACAGCCCTGTATGACTTCAAGAAAGCTTCCCTCTCAGTTTTAATTCAACTTGGACTTCAGCAGCCGGTCTGAGGTGTTACTTTAGGGAATAAACCTAATTGACATACCCTGAAGGAGACCTGGGCACTGTTCTCTTGCATATTCATGATGGCCTCTGAAATCTTGACATCAATAGGCTCCATGACAGATTCAATGTTGAAAGGTCCCTCCAGCCTCTGTGCGACCAGCAGCAAGGCATCTGTCAAAAACAGTGGTACGAAAAGGTGGGGTGTGGGATGGAGGGAAGAAAAGAGGAGAGATGCAAATAGACAATCAGTTGAAGATACATCCACTGTATTGCATTCACTGGCACTGGTGAAGCCCTCCAATACAGAAACAAGACTTCAAATATTGCAGTTACTGTGAAGTCCACTCAGTTTAACCGTGTGCATTTACAGGGATTCTGTATTTGCATGTGTTTTCTATATCTGCGAGTAATTGGTTGCATTTAATTTGTAGCTCATATGTATTTGTTTCTTGTCCTGTCCGAAAAAACAATGGTTACATTTTGTAACTGCTGTAAATGTTTTCTTCAGATTCTGTCAGTCTTGAACAGACAACAAACAACTATTGTCAAGCATTTTGATCGTAGTTACTATCATTGCAAAAACACCCAAGTTAGTTCCAGTTTCTCGAATTTGGATTACTGGTTATCTCCATTTTATATCACTATAAACTGAATACTCTTGGGTTTTTGACTGAAAGTTGGATAAAACAAGCAACTTCAAGATATCACTTTGCACTCTGAGGAATTGTGATGAGCATATCTCACTATCTTCTGAAATAAAATAAAAACGATATAATCACAATCATAAAAGGCTTAGCTTCTTGGGCATTGTTTTAGTAGAAGCTTCAAACAACAAAGTATTGTGTATTGCCTTCTGGTTACTACACTGTGTTGTCAATAACCTCAAACTTCTCATCACAGTCCACCAACACACATTTATTAAGCATGAATGCTTCTTAAGGCAAATTCAATTTGTATGTAGATCAACTTAATCATCAACACAATGCTGTTATGCTACATGCAACCAATAGAGCTGATGAATCATTGATTTAATAAAACTTCCCAAAGGGAAGCATATATTTCCATCCCCTGTGGGCACTGATGAATAAGGTCAATCGCTCATTAATGTCCTTGTGTGGACACAAGCCAGAAGCCATTGTTAAACACGTGTCACTAATAGTTTTCATCACTTCTAATTAAACCCCTGACCGTGTAAAACAAAGATGTTGCTGTCGAAATATTTTATATTTACAGCTATGGTGCACATGTCACAGCAGCGCAGCGTAGTGAGGCACCAGCTTAGTTACCAGCCATTTCAAGTTTAAAAGTGAAGGTTGGAACATGACACCAGTCAGAGCATGTGGATTTTCGTTGAAATAAATAATTCTCTAATGCATATACTGTATTGCTTGTTTTCTTTTATTCCACTTATCACACTATGATGCTATTGAAACACTCAGACAGCATACTGATGCATTGAGGCACAGGGACCCCCGATCTCCCCAAAAGTGGGGTGACATTTTTTCCCCTGATAAAATATAAAATCTTGCGAAACAGTGTGAACAAATTGAGATAAAAGAACAATAAGAGAGAGATAAAGGAACAATAACAAGTCTGAAATAGCCCTACTAGTAATAATTAGGGGGGTCAATCTTTTGAAAAACATCCTTTGAATACAAATTTAGAATTATACAAACTGACACAGTTAACTAGTTGCTGCTCTGGTTATATAGAATGGAAATCAGACATCATTATAAATAGAAGTTGTGACATACATTGTGTAAGCCGTACTTTTGAAACACACATTTGATGGAGTTTAATGTTTGAAATAGTTAACCAATCATGAAACAGAGGAGACGATGCCAATCCTGAAAACTTATTTTGGATTGAAATACTTTTAATAAGCTGTTGTCCTTTTAGCGGTTCACTGTGTTAATTGATATGGCCATGAAACAGAAACCGTGCTAAAGTGGTGTCCAGCCCACAGGGTTTGTACTAATGTGCCAAAGTCTCTGTAATGGCTGTTCTAATTTGAATGCAGTGCCACAGGGAGTTGGACATCACTAAACCACAACTCATAACTGAGTCATTCCCAGATCTGGAGACGGTACTTAAGTCATCTGCCATCAGAGGTTTCTCCATCCATAGACCTCCCAGCACAAGACCTCCCCAGCTGACTGTCATAAAGACTCTACAGCTACGCCCTTACTAAATAAGGTCATTTGATAGTGAAACAATGACCTGTGTAAGCAGAATTTCGATTAATGGGAAATATCATACATATTAGGGCCGAACGATATATCGTGTCATGACGATAACCGCGATATGCGCATGCGCGATATTCACATTGCAGGGACGTGCGATTTTATTTATTTATTTATTTTTTAGGACGTGCGATATTAAGTAGGTAAATTAACACAAAAACTTCATGTTACGATTATTTTGCTGCTTGCTACAAAAGGAAAACTTGCGCGGCTCTCATGTCAGGGGTACTTGAGTGAGTGACATGCNGCACATCACCACCACAAAGCTCAGAGCAAAGAAAATGTTATGCATCACTGAAATACACCAGAGAGAAGCATTTCTTTCTTTTCACAGAATTCCTCCTTCTGCAAATTCGTAATTCTATAGGTGGGAAGTGATTCTGTAATTAGAACCACTCTAACACATCTTCATGTAANTAGGACGTGCGATATTAAGTAGGTAAATTAACACAAAAACTTCATGTTACGATTATTTTGCTGCTTGCTACAAAAGGAAAACTTGCGCGGCTCTCATGTCAGGGGTACTTGAGTGAGTGACATGCAGGCTCTGCAAGCACAGCAAACCACCAATCACAATCATTATTGATCAAATCACAGCAGGCCCCGCCCCGCTAGTTTGCAGACCATCAAAACACCGGTAAAATGTTGTGAGGAACAGGAGGACAATACCGGCGAGAATGAAGATTTACTTCCAAAAAGAAAAGCAACATCTGCCATCTGGAACTATTTTGGATACAAAAAGGTTCTTCTCTTCTTCATTCACAGATGAACCCCCTTATTTGAGGGTAAGCAATATGCATTATCATGACATGTTAGATCATGACTTAAGGTATGGTGAGTCAACCAGTTAAGATCCAGACGTCCCTGACTAAAATCCTTCATCCGGTTAAATATAGTTAAAAAAAACGCAATATATATCGCAGGGGAAAAAAATATCGCAATGTCAGTTGTCAGTTTCAATATCGTGCAGCCCTAATACATATTCATTATGACATGCAGCTGCCATGACCACATGCATCATAAGACTATCGTGTTATTTGTTCACAAGCTATTAACACTACGATACTTTTCAAAAAATCAAAGCCATGATGGAAACCATGGGTGAAAAAAATGGAGCTTAACTGAAAAAAGAGAATAATACTCTGTGTTAAAGCTTACCAAAGACTTAGAGGGGATATTGGAGACAAACAGTGTGAATTTAAGAAATTACACTGCAGTTCTTTGAGCATGTCCAGCTTTTCAATCTTGAGGGACCTGAGATCCATAATGGCAGAGGAATAGAGCCAAGAAACATTACCCCAGCTCTGGCTTCATTTCCTTTCCAATTATGTCGAGGTCTGAGCCTTTGAAGGGCTCTTCTGTTTGTTAACACAAAATCTAATAGCCTGTGAAGCTTGCTGAGATTTTGTCAGCGCCAAATTGTGTTCTGCAGTAACACTTCAATTGCGCCGCAGTGGAACCATATCTAAGTGTAGACGACCCCTGCACAGGCGACAAAAATCAAACCAAACAAAATTAACGATGCCACTGCTAGTCTATTAGCACTGATGCTAATCAGCTGCAATAATGTGTTTTCTTGACACTGAACCTCAATTTAGGAAGAGCGCTTTCTTCGAATTCTTGATTTCCTGGAAATAATTTGGATTTGGCATTGCCATATAGCTTTCCGTTTAATCTGATTATGATGTAAATTCATTCAAGTGCCCGAGGTGTGTCTGCTTACTTGATAACAAACACATAACATCTCAATTCAAGCGTCAGTAAAAAACTGGCAAGTGCAAAAACTGAAAATGTAGGTCAGAGGAGCCAACTGGGAACAACTCATATTTCATAATAGAAGAAGAGAAGAGTGCCTCAAGCACCAGAGGCGATAGTGACTTATCTGCAACTTATCAGATGGGCTCAACAAACACAGAGAGCCAGGAACTTTGTCTTCATTCAAAACTGAGGCAGAGGAGACAGCGAGCGACAGCACTCGAGAGAAAGAAGAAAGTAGAAAGTAGAATAATAGTGGGCTGATGGGGTTGAGTCAGGCCAGTGGACGGCTCCTGTGCCACATGTGGAAAAACTCTACCTACATGGAGAATTAATGACCATCATTTATAAGGAGTCCATGAAGTCCAGTCCGCTGTGGCATTGCTGCCAGTCTGAGCCAAGTTTTCCCTGCATCACTCTTGCAGCACTGAGATAGGCCACTGGCCAGCCGGAGGAAATCTTTTTATCATCATGACACAGCCATGCAAATAGACGCATCTTGTCCTATTCTGAGCTGAGGCTTTTAAAAACAACAACAGACACCATGCCGTGAAACCACAGCGTGGTGTGGACATTTTGTTTCATATAAGAGGCTAATGTTTCAGTTTGGGATGCGAAACATGTTTATTTGCTCTGTCCTGCTAAACAGACAGAAAAATCCCAGGAGGTAATATTACTCTGGGCCTCTTTATCGAGATTGATGTCCACTTAAATTCAGGCTATGTCAGCCAGCGGCAACCTCCAGCAGACAAGGACAAATAAGGAAAGTGAACAGGCCCATCTATGGCTCCTGTGAAGAGCTCCACAGAATGAAAAATGGCTCTATTGTAATTTGGATTCTGCAAAGCATAGCTCATCTGTGGTTCAGTCAACCAACTAATGGTGCTATATGAAACGGTATAGAAATGGATACCAAAGAAAAGGCATGTTATTGCTTCACACCTTTTGTTACACTTTGTCCTGATCAAAAAGGTCCTTGAATATACACATTTCCACATGAAAACTAACTTTCTATTTAAAGTATCTACAGAAGTAAAACTGAGCCGGCATAAGCAAATCATTTTGAATACCTTTTTCTTACCAGAACTTAAAAGCATTTTCAAAACACTTTATCTTTTAGAAACCTCACAAATAGAAGCTTGTGTTCCCAGGGGAATGATGCTGACAGACATT